AGCCAGTTTCTTTTAGCAGACCCATTGTATAATCGATCTGCTCAAATCCTTCAAGCACACGGAGGAAATCCTGAGCTTTGCAGCTTCCAGCATGAACACGAGAAAATAAGTCTCTCAAGGTCAGGCATTTTTGTTAGCTGAGAAGAAAATTGGTTACGGATGGCGTTGTCTGCGTTTAAAGCATCAACAGCATCGAGGCGTGCATTTATTTTCTTAGCATCCACTAAGGGGTGACAGACCCATTGCTTAAACATCCTTTTGCCGAATGGTGTTACGCATCGGTTGAGCAGTTGGAAGAGGGTGCCCTCCTGGCCCCCATCGAACGAGTTGGCGAACACCTCAAGGTTGATAAGGGTTTGGCCATCAAGCACGAGACTGGTGGCCTTTCTGATCGGATCGTACCACGTGAAGTTTCCAATTGTGATCAAATCTCGTTCAATTTTGAGCATCCTCAAGTACTGTACTAGCGCTCCAAATGCTGACATGGCAAATTCCTTGTCCCTTGCTTCTCGTAGGACTTGTGGCCAGGCCAAGAGGTTATCCCCATCTAGTGAGACAAAATAATTACTGGCATCGAGCTCCCGCACAGTAATATCTGCTTCCCAGAACTCTTTTCCAGGTTTCAAATAGTTCCAGAGGGTGGTGGGGATAGTGTTATTTTTCAGAATCCGCAAAGCTTTGGTGGACATGACAGACTTCTCGAGAAGTAACTCCTGTGGGCGCGTTTGGGCAACGAAGGTCTCAAATTTGGTCATATCGACATCATCGATAAATTCTGCCAAATAGAACTGGCCTGTCGCAGTGTCGACGAAAGCGAGTCCAAATACTGGTAGGTCATTGACTAGTGCCTCCTTAATGGCCACACAATACGTTGACATGTCATCTTGAAGCATTCCGCCATCCACAAGAGTGCCAGAAGTAAGGACACAGGCCAATTCACGCCTGATGATTTTTTCTTGTTTCCCGACGCTGCCACCCGTCTTACCCTGTTTCTCTCGCATTTCCTTACCGAGAGCAGATTCGCTTTGATCCACCCTCGCGATCTTGAAACCTTTAGCCACAAACTGATTCGCCCAATGGTCTAAGCTCATTTCCGGGACGCCAACCATGCGCATGTTCACACGATCTGTAAGTTTGAGGTCGAAGAGTTGATGGCCGATAGTAGCGTCATTTTCGTAGAGTTCATAAAATTTGCCCTTCTTGAAAAAGACGACCGTATCCCAAAATTTCTGTTTAATTTCCCAGTATTGTTTCTCAAACGGTGAGAATTTAGTCCATGCTAGAGGAGGAATATAAATGGTCCGCGGATCGTAGTCAGGGTGTCCAGGTGGGTTTCGGTCAATATCCGTAATATTAGCAAGCCACGGGTAACGGTGCTCCGGTTCACTCATATGGGCCTTCGCTTTTTTATTCTCCCTTTGTACTGTGGTTTGGTGAGAGCAGGTCGCTGCTTTGGTGGTTCTGTATCATTAGGATCATAAGTCCATTTCAGAGCAGAGCTAGTAGATGCATCTGGAAGCTCAAGATCACTTCCCTCATTTTGAACGGGAGGTGATTTCGAAGGCGATACTTTGATAGAAGCACTGGAGGGCCGCTTGCGCTTTTTGGATGGCTTCACCTCATCCTCAGAATCATCTGGGACAATAAAGTCATCTAGGTCTACATGGACACAGTATTAGTAGTGAAAAATCTTTCCAAGAAAACCAAATTATGTATGCTAACCGTCATCGGAAAACCCATCGTTATCATTGAATTCATCCTCATCAGCCGAACAAGCAACGGTTTTCCTCCTTTTCGCGGTCCCCCCTGCGCCGAATTTTCTACTCGCTGGGATGACATCCTCGTCATCTGACTCTAGATAGCTTTTGACAGATTTTTTCGCCTAGAATTCAACAACAACGTGAGCAAGCATTCCACCAGACCTAAGACATTGTTCCCATATAATAGAACTGAACTGGTGAAACACGTAGTCTTCTTACCCGTCGTGCTGGTGTGACCGAGCTTCGATCAGGCACTCCATTCTCAATCAGTACGCCATCGACTTCGTTTGTGGTTGCAGTGGAGGACGGGAAACAGCCGCTATCAACCGAACTCGCATCAATTTCCTTAGCCTCCTCACCCTCTACCACCGCTGCAGAATCATCCATCTTGGAATCATCCTCATCATACCCCACATCATCACTACTTGGAACAGGGGTATGATTCTGTCCACCGCCAGCAACATTTTTATCCTCTCCGATCTTCAGGGATTTCGAAATGGCAGTCCCGAAATTCGATCTCGAATTGATGTGATTTTTTTGCCCTGAAGCTGCTCTCTGGGAAGGGGAAGACACAAGATCCTGGGTAGTATTGTTACGGTAAGCAGGAGACGCGGCCACCGTTACAGGTGAGGATTTCTGGAAGAAACCCAAGATGGACTTTTGGCTCTTCATATTTTGGGTGCTTGAGGTCGACTTATTTAGAACACGCGCATTTGGTGTCTTCTGCGAGTTGGTATGTTCCACCATATCTCCTACGAGAGGAGAGGATAAAATGACTGCTCTGAGAGTGCTTGAAAGACGGGACAGGTTCTAGTTATGAATCAATTGCAAGGCGGTACATGATTTTGTATACTCATACGGTAAAATATCTAGTATCGGCGTCAATAATAGGAAATAGAGAAAAAGGGGCGAACTTTTGAAGGGGAGTTGAAGAATACGGAGTAATTCCTCCCGAGATGGATGTCAGAAAGGGAGACGTGACAAAAGTTACCATTAGCGTGTTCGACGCGTTAATGGGGCATGTCACGTGATACTGAAGGCAACTGCGGATGATTCCATTCATCCATTGGATAAGCCGGGGGAAGATAAATAAATACCTCTATACAGTGTGCAAGTACGAACACTTAGGCTTGAGGGTCTATCTGGTAGCGTCCTAGCGCTTTATCCTGCGCATTTTGAATGAGATGTCAGCGCTGAGATCATTAATGTGAGTAGCCCGATTTTTCCTTGGTTTCATGTGCTGATGTTAGTTATAGTATAACCGAGTGCGATCTTTGCAAACTCGGATACCACGACTTGTTGACCCGGTTCCTGCAGAATGCGCGCTGATTGACACACATAATCGTTGGGCTTTGCCATCCACTGAAGGCGTACGGCCATTCTGCGTTCCGCGTCATCAAACTCTGGGACCTTGGGAACTGGGAGAATGGTGACATACCAGCCATGCAATCACTAGAAAAACTTCAGCTCTGTGGGGGAGAACACGATGATGCGACGGTAGACGGCTTCAGTATAACCATGGCCAAGTTCCCGCGTCTGTGGTCCCTCAAACTATGGAATTTGGTAGGTGCAAATGCTGAAAAGTTTTTCCCTGGGCCAATACAGAGCTTGCGCAAGGTGAAGGTTGAATTTTGTTTTATTTCCACGGTCAGATTTCTTAACCTGTCAGCCGTTGCGGCTGAAAGCCTATACCTCTGCATTCGACAATCAGACGGTGTCACAGGACCGTATGAAATTAGTACAACGAAGATTATGAATCTGACCATAGGCGGACGCTTACCACCAGGTTTCCGATTGAAAGGTTTGCCGCAGAACTGCACACTCTGCGCTGATGCCTTCCTGCTCCAAGGTGCAAAAATATTGATGGCAGAGGCCGTATAACGTCCTATAAGTTCCAGAACGTGATGTTGACGCACTCATTGTGGAATGCCCTCCACTCCCGCACCTCTCTCCGGGTAATTCATATTTATGTCGCTCGTCACAATCCCGAATTCCCCCCCTCCTTCCTCCCCGGGCGATCCTTTGGTGGAGGTGAGTAATCTCTGTTATCCAAATGAGAACCAACTGCAGCCTGCAGAACTCTTTCGGGAGGTGGTCCACTGGATCAATGATCTCACCATCCACGAAGAACAGATCCTCAAGAACGTGTGGGATAAAGGAATTCGGGTAGTGAATAGACGTTTCCAGGCGTTTTCTAATGTGAATTTGTCCATCAACTGGAGCTGAAATTGAACAATCTGAATTGTGGCATAGCCATGATGGTTGGCCTGGCTTGCAGAGAGCCTTGCTGTCTTTGTTATATTACACAGTTGTCACATTTCTGAAGTCGTGAAGGAATATGTCATACGCACGCAACTCCCTGGTCGACCCTGTCTCTGTTCTTATGCAAAACGGCATTGACGAGAGAGTTGTAGAATTTCTTGACAACAGTTGATTCGTAACTTGATACTGATAAATGCTACAGTGTCTATCCACCACAACCCGAATGACTCCACGTGACAGAAAAAATATATCCACAGAACGTTCTTGCGGAATCATTCAAGTTAGGGGTATTTTCCAGAAAAGAGGAATCCTATCTACTTCACATATCTCTTTGCTCGGATCCGCTTCCTGCGCTTTAGTCTAGGCAAAGGTCCACTCACAGCAAATCACCTTTCTCCTAGCACTGTAGGCTGTTTTCCGGGGCTACTGCCTCATTGTCTAGCTCTACCAGGCAGGGGAAAGCAACAATGACACAGAAGAAGAATCGAAACTCAGAAGGCTTGTTAAGCTCGCCCTTGAAGTAGCCCTCCGGACTGCGCCAGGTATCATTGCCGGCTAACATCCCTTTAATGCACCTCCCTTTAGGGAGATAAGCTTCGTTTTCAAGATCGATTGTCCGAGCCTCCTCAACAATCATTTCCGGGCCAGTACCGCGGTAGTTGATCATGATATTGTCAGGTTTGATATCTGGAAGCAATTAGGTTTAGGTTATGGAACTGAAGAGTGCGTCCTTCACCTAAATGAACAATGTCATGGCTGTGCAGCTCAGCAATCCCGCGCAGACTACCTTTTAGGATCTGCTTCCTCGCTTGCATTGATATTTGCTTTCTATCAAGGCTCAGAAAGTCATCTTTCATGTACTTGTACACAAGTATCCACTGATTTGGAATGATGTCATGTGGTAAGCGTAGAAATGAGCTTTTTAAAGCCGCGGTCGTATGTCCTCATTGAAGCTTCAGAAAATTGCCTTGGGAATGTCCTTCAAGATGAATTTGCCTTGTCCGGATCTGGAGCACTGTAAGCTCATCGACCTGTGGTACATGATGGAGCGGGTATTCTCGCACGTTGCTAACCAAACGCGACCAACATGTGGTCTCTCCTGAATCAGTTTCTTGAAGACATAGCGACGTCCAGCCGTACCGATCAATTCATTAGGTGGAGGTACCATATTCTCCCCAAAATTTTGAGATTTGTTGACAAGTGATGTAGGGCAAATAGTTCAGCAACGCAGGTGTTGTTGATACCCAGGGATCGTAGCGAGACGCTGGCTATTTTTGGCCCGGATTTAACCATGCGCTAGTCGACTTAGGTATGCAAGACGGATGGATGGGATGGATCAAAATTCATTGATCATAGCTAAAATTGGTTGGATATAGACAACGCTAACCTATGTGCAAGTGCGAATTCAACCTCACAGCCATGAATTTCATAACTCGAGGTCTGTGTATAGTGTCTGACTGTATTCTAGCTAAGCACCGCCAGGCCATCCACTTCGTGTCACCATCATCACACTTTCTTGCCGTCCTGCTTTTTGTCCTTCCCTGCCCCACGAATAATCTAAGTTTCCCAGCACTGTCGTTGCCTTTCACTTATAGTAGTGCTTTGATGCAACGATCTTTTCATCCTTGTCGAGCTCGAAAGCGGTGAAATACCTTGCAGCATCGCTTTGGCTCGGATGCTCCGCCTCCCTGGAAAAGGTGAGAGAGAAAAGAGATCAACGGCAATTGTGCACATGACTCACTTCATTGCCACTCTGACGGTTTCAAGCTTTAGAGTGTCTTTGTACTGTTCAGCAACTGTAGTGAACTCGTCTTGGGTGGTGTGGAAGAATCACCATGGTGCAAGAATGTTGGCGCCATGGAGGTAAGGTCAGGCAAATCCTGGTAAAACAAGGCATGAAAATGAGTGTCATCACCTACCACCTTGCAATACCAGCCGCCGTCTACGCAGAAAGTAAGGGAAGATTGTAACCCTTCTCACTCTTTATTTCCTAAACTGTAGCACTGACTGAAGGGGTGCTAGAATGATTGTCATGCAATCATAGCTGCTCCAATGCACAGTCTTATAGCGTGAACTCAAATTTCCAATAGTGAATCAGTCCGCTAATTCATCAAAATGCGGATCATGAAGATGAGAAAATTTGGACATCACACCACATTGTCGCATCACCCCTTTCTCTCCTGGTTGATTATAGCACCCAGGAGGCTGAGGCTGAAGTACCTTTTCCAGTGGACATCCATCTTTGTCGACTCAGTATCTTGCTGCTGGTCAAAAGGGAACATCGAGTGACTGAGAATTCACCTGCACTAGAGCAGTTTGGATCAAGTGCACGTCATGCATCCGCCACGCCGTGAGACTTTAATCATTGAGGAGATTTTTTTCTTCGTCTGGACATGTCACCCGTGCAATCAACCAAACGTTCCAGACCTTGCACAGCCCTGAGCAGACTAGATATCCTAGTAGCGGGGCTCAGTCTGTGAATAATTTTAGGTTAACTTGACAGCAGAGTGAGACGAAATTGCATCAGGGAAGAAGGGAAGTGGACATGGTCACCATGTCGAGAACAGTTTCAGCTGCGGCACAGCTGGGCCAGGTGATACTAGCAGTGGGGCCCGATGAGAAGGGATGGGCATAGTACACATGAGGAAAGAGAATTATGACAAAAGAAAGGGAATATAGTGATGACGGAGAGAAGATGTTCGAGCGGCGGAAGGAGGTGGTTTATATAGTCCAGAAAGCGGCGATGTTGCGCTAAACCATGTAAGGCAATTCCCCACGGTATACCTAGGTATGGAGTAAATGCTGAGGCTTTTCGATGGTAGAGTTTGAGGCTACTAGCAAAGGAAGAAGTACTAAAGGGCATCATGATAGAAAAATGAAATTGTGTTCCCCGACAAACAAAGATTAAGACACAAAAAAAGAAGAGGAGACAGGGCAAGTAGATAGGGATAAGGGGAATCAAGCTCCAATCTAATTTACAGGTCTATAAACAGAAAAAAAAAAAAAGAAGTAGAAGGAAGAAAAATCCGTAAAAGTATACAGCATATCGCTATTAACGGGTCAGGCGGAACGGAGCGGGAAAAACGAGAGGAGAAATCCATCTTACCTTGATGATTTATTCGACTCTCAGATCGCCCGATTTCACCTCAGCTTCCTCTTCCTCCTCCCTCCATCCTGGAGCTTGTAGGCCTAGTTTCTCAAAATCCTCATCGCTCACGATTTTTACTATCTTCACTTTCCATTTTCCAATCCTCAAGATCAGCAGAGAATCGTCAATGATAAATTTTTCCGTTGCATCTTTGTTCCAAGTCTTGATCGGAACGTAGGACAATTTGTCATCCATAGTGGCCTTGGAGTCTGATCTTGATGCGACAGCCGCTCCATTATGTAAGATAAGCCGCATCGCTTCTGCCTTAGATGATGCGAGCCCTGCTGACCAAAGAACCTTGTGGAAAAATTGTCCAACGACCAATGATCTTGGGAGAGTAACATGTGGGGATGGCGCATTAAAAGGGCTCGTTTCTGAAAGATTGATATCACGTTTTGGGCGGGCCTCCATTTCTGGGGCCGTGGATATTTGCCCTCCAAAAAGGCTTCGATGGTCCTTCTCAGCTTGGGCGGCTTCCGCGGGCCCCCGCATAAGTTCGACGAATTCGGAAGCCAGTTTGTGTTGTGCGACTCTCTTAGACGGGTCCTCCATGTGCTGTACCATGATTTCCTTGATTGCGGGTATAGGGAGGAAGGTGAAGTATTTCAAATATTGTTCAACATTCTCGTCCGGAACCCGTATGAAAAACTATAGACGGTGAGTTTCATGTTGCGCTATTGAAGTAAATGGACAATCAGAAGGTACAGATCTCTTACCTGGTAGAGGTCAAAAGTCGGAGTCATGTCCTTATCTAACCAGACAGCATTTCCCGCTGTCTTTCCAAACTTCTCCCCTGATGGGGTTGTGAGGAGAGGTGTAGTAAAACCCATAGGCTCCAATATTTCCCGGTCTTCAGGTTTCGGAGCATGCTTTCGCCAGTAGTCCTGGTCCGCTTTCATCAGAGATTTCGTTGCATCAATGCCAAATTGAATGTTTCCAGCCTGGTCGGACCCGCCAACTTGCACCAAAACGTTTTGTTGTTGGATGAGTTGCCACCAATCCCATGCTTGCAGGAGAGGATATGTAAATTCCGCCAGGGACATGCCTTTCCCGCTCTGTAAACGATTCTTAACACTGCAAAGCCGTATTGTGTCAGCCGCCCTCGTCTGGAAGACACCTAACAGAATCCTATACTAGACAAATAGTGAAGGGCGCGTATACGTACGTATCCCGCCCAAGCATCGGCCCCAATCGCGCACTCTCTCCCATGGTTTTCATGACCTCCATGAACGGCTCCTTGAGCCACCATGTATTATTATTCACGATTGCCCGTCTCCATATAGGTTCATATGCGTATCCATGTTTAGCCCCGTACCTCTCAATAGACATCCCGAGAGTTTTAAGTTGGAGATGCATGTTCACCATATTCTCTTTGCGCGTAACCCTGGCCTGTTTAGCTCTGGGGTCTTCTCTGTCTGTAGGGTCGCCAATTTGACTTGTGGACCCGCCTAGCTGTTGTTTGAATTAGTTATATGCTACATAATACAGCTCCATACTTGGACAGGTATATAGCGTGGAAGAGCGTAAAAGCAGAATGTGCTCACCAGAAAAACCGCCCTGATACCGTGGACATAAGCCCATGCCAGAACCATAAATGGTAGCATGTGTCCAATATGCAGAGACGGCGCTGTAGGATCGACACCAGCGTATACGCCCACTCTCCTTTCCGTCCACATTTTATTCAATGCATCTCGATCACTACAGTACGCACAATTGCGTTAGCGGAATACGCAAGTCGTGTCGCGCAACATGAACATTCGCCAGTATATGGGCATATTCATTCCATTGCTTATTCTCTCCAGGGAGATTACGTAGCTAACATACCCAACAACTTTGTTGACCAATCCCCGTTCTTCCATAAGTTCCAAAAAGCTCTTTCTATTGCCAGCCTTGATTTCCTCTGCATATCCTTTCCACGTTTCCTCCGCCTCCCGCATCCGCAGGATATGCTTTTGTGTGATATTGCGTGTTTGGAGCAAAGAGGCTGTCATGATGCTAGAGGATTTCGCTCCTCCTAGTGACATTCTCCCCACATTGGCAGGCTGCGATCGGAGAAACATCATGAACTGGGGGTAAGGAAGCATGGAGAGCGAGCAGGCAGGGAACGACCGAAATTGCGCCATCATTCGGATGAATCGATGGCGGAGTTAAGAAAAAACAGACATGTTGGAATCGCTCAGTGATCTCAGGCTACTTACTACCTTATATCAATTGGATGCGTAAATAACTTCAACCTTCGTTACGATGTGAAAAAATGGATGTCTTCCTCAGACTAAAAGGTCTATCCGAGACTTTACCTCAAAGTTTGCTTGTGGACTGTGGATCAATGATAGCCCGGTTGGCGCTAAAACTCCCTATTAGACCTGAGAAAACAAAAATTTAGACGCTTTGTGCTTTATCCTTCAACAATAAATAGACGCTCTTCTACTCTGTACGGATGATGGAAGTTACTCAGTTGGTCTAGGATCATGCAATGTCAAAAATAATTCAGAAATATGAAATTCACCAAATCGATATAAACTTCTCAAGCGTCGAACAACCAAGTCTTGAAATAAGAAACATCACAATATCAGACCCCAGTCCAATCCCAGCACATCCCGATTGACCCAGGCGAACTAATCAGCAAAATCATGATTCAACTCATAAAAATCTGAACAAATACTTCATTGCTCCAACCGCTAACTAAACCCAACTCCTTCCACGCGGTCTCAACATCAATAGCAAGCACTGTCTTCCCAGTCCCATCTTCCGCAGCCTTCAGCTGAACAGTGTGCATGGGGACCACCTGCCCGTGGAGCAACACCAGGAAGTTTCCCTCCACAGTGCGACAGGTAGAATCAGATATATATATACCCAATGTTCCCAATGCCTTCAAATTAATGTTAAATTTGAGCCTGCTATTAGCGATAAGGAAAATATCTGAAGTTACAATAGCAGCAACTCCAGTCATTTTGCCCAAGAGGCCTAGAATAGCGACATCTGTGTTTATCGTGGCACCTCTGCTACTTGTTTGTCTATTTGGCATTTTAAATGTCCTGACAGGGAACATGGTTAAAATTTCCCAGCCTTTTGTTTCCAGAGATACGGAAACCAGTGAGGCTTGGTCTGAAGGTTTCATTATTGGCGAGATGGCGCCAGAAGAATGTGCGCGTATCACATACTTGTCATTGCTACCAGGAGAAATGCCTGGGAAATCTAGGATGGAGATTAGTGAGGTGGTTTTTCCAGCGCCGATGTTGAAGAGGCCTAGGATACCACTTCCAGTTTTTGCCCAGCCTGTGTAACATCCTACCCTGAGCATCTGGCCTTCGTTGTAATTGTGGTATACGTCAATTGAGGTTCCTAGAACACTAGTCCGAAGAATAATAGTGTTGCCTTCGGTTGTCGGAGCTGTCATCTGATTGATAAGGTTGATATCGTGTTCACCCGGCACATCGGTGATGTATATGGGACCGCCAGAAACACATCTAGCTGCTGCGTGGAAGGATGCATACGGGTGGCTGGTCTGGAACATGTCCCAATCAGGGATCACGTTAAGATGCCGTGTAAAGAGGGCGTTATGTGCATTACAGAAAACGTGCCACGGGTGGGACGTGGAGACATCGGGAAAGAAATCGTCAGAGTTCCTTAGGAGAATCCGTGGCTTGTTTGTCGGTATCTGGGAATGAAAAATGATCTGTGGCGCTTGCGACATGCAGCTGATTGCTTTGGCTTGGAAATAACGCAGCGACGCAATGGACCACGCATCTTGATACGCCGTCGTAAATCGGATTCGGTCGGTGGGATCCTGCAGCATGTCGAGGAAAAATTGCGCATCGGTTTTGACGGAGTCAACTCCAGCCTCCAAAAGAAATTTATACATATCGTCATAGAACCGGTAAATATCATCCGGGTCGACAACCAGCATACTCCCACCGGCAACGCCATCAACCTTTTTGACGATCTTTGTTTTATACGTTTTTGCTATCTGACCGTCAGGTGAGATACCACCCCAATATCCGAGAAGGGCATGCCAAACGGCAATATGCTGGATATGTGTGTGCTTTTGGCGTATTTTACTGGTTGTATGCTTCAACCCATTTGGGAACCCTTCCTTATTCGCTTCGAATTCCATCCAGCCACGTTTAAACTGAACCTCGCCCTTTCTGTCCAATGCCTGCCAATTATCATCTATGATGAGGTTGACAATATTGATGCCATTTGCTTTTAGAATATCGAGGGCTTTTAATATTTTTTCCTCTGTCAAGTCCTGTCCTAGAGCATTCCAAGTACAATAAGCTAAGCCGTCATACCAATCAGACATCCATTGAACCTGAGGGTCATCCTCCACGAGAACAATATCACTATCCAACGGTGATTTCGGCTCATTCAGCTCCTGCGGCGTAGTTGAAGTTGCGGACCTAGTTCCAGAAATCTGTCTCACGACTTTTCGGGACTCATACATTACAGCGCTTTTCGCGACCTCGAAAGAAGGTGCCACCGCAACTAGAACCTGAAAGTTGGAGTTGTGGAAACTGTCATTCCTCACAACCGCCACAATCTGGCCTTTGTCTCCGGAATTAAATAGAGTCATGACGTTATCCACCCCACTGATAGCAAGGAGAACGAGGTGCGTTCCATCTTTGCGCAAAAATGACAGAAAAATAGCGTCCTCTGTCAAAGCCAGGTTATTCATGCCGTGTCGTGGTGCAATCCAAGGTTCCCATATACGGACAAGAGCAAAATATCTGACGAAATCCTTCGGGAGTGCGAAATTTATTTTCTCGTGAGTGCTCTGGTTATCAATCGCGGATAGGATAGTGCCTGTCACGCTCCACAAAAGTGCCCCGGGGGACTCGCTAGAGCGTGTCTCAATCTCGAGCTTCGGATTAATATGATCCAAATATTCAGTCAACTTTGACTCCTGGACCACGGGCTCAAGGCTCTTGCGAAGTTGAGAGCTGAAAGGTTCAAAAACCAATTCGCCATCTTTCGTCCCAAATTGATCCTTCACCCATGTCCACGAAGACTCTGCATCGATTCTATATCTAATAGTAAAAGCGGCATGCTTACCCTGTTTCGGGAAGTCAAGTTCCTGGGAAAATGTGTAGGTGTGATAGTTTGGCCCTGGTCCAGGGCCCATTGCCATGGGAATAGTTTGTGACGTCGAACTCTTTTGCAAGGGAAGTGCTTCCCATGAATCGTTATTGTTAACATTATGCCAGATGGAAACCTCCCAGGTCTGCTCAGGAAACGAGCGGCTTGACTTGAGTTGGACGGTAAAGAGGAGCTATGAAGTATTAGCAACTATAGTTAATATATGGCGTTTAACGTCTGCATCTCGGCAAAGAGACAACTAGATAAAAACCTTGTAATTTAAAGCAAGCAATTGCAAGTTATGAAATAAAATGTCATATTACGGAAGAGGCTGAGAAAGAAGTCTGCTCAAGATAACACTATCCGCCATACCTTATCTTGATCTCCACTCCTTTTCAGACATGTAACCTGGCCCAAGGGCGGCCAGCTGGTAATATCTGCAAAAAGGCTCATCTGTGCTGCTCGCACAAATTTGATCTGTGAGGGGCGTTCTGCCTTCTGCTGGCTCAGTTGAGTTGCACTCCCTTGTCCCGTGTTTAGAGTTATAGAAGCTAGAGCGCTCGAGAGCATGGATGAAAGGGTCGCTTTTGTCATTTCACCTTTATTTTTATTTTTATTTTTTTTTATTTATTTATTTACTTTTGTTGTTGTTGTTGTTGTGTAGACAGACGGGTGGGCGAAGTATTCAACTGTCCCCTATTGAATTGTAGGATGACTGTCCGAGATGATAACCAAGAGGGTATAGATTAATGTAATTTACATCTGGATAACTGAAGAACTGTTAAATATCGTGCAACGAGAGGTGGAGATTTGGAGACGGATATTATTAGAGCAATGAACTAGTTAATCATCAAAAGTTACCTGTAACTATCTGTACCACGGTTCGGCACTTCATTTGCTCCTCTGAAACACAAACACAACGGTACTGGAAAATCTTTTTTGCATGCTAGATGTCCAACTGAGGAACATATTAAATCTAAAGGACGCGTCTGACCTAGTCAGTTCACGAAATTTATTCAAGTCGTTCAAACTGCTGGCTACGGATCATTCAAAATTGTCGGTGCAGGAGGAGTAGCCTTCACTAGCGAAGCCACCTGAGAAACATATAACTATACAATACAAATCTCTTAAGACCCAACAACAACTAATAGTTACTAGTTATAGCTAACCCCTGGACAACTCTGAAAGAGGTGGACACATTTTCCGAAAATAAAAAGAGGTCACAAGACAGACCAAACCAATATTATTCACCATAATACATATTAATCCGACTCAATTTCCTATTCAATTAAAGAAAAAAAAGAAAAAATAGCTGCAAATCACGTTATTCCTCCAAGGGCCCTCCAGCGCCCCCGAAAGTGACAGTCTTAATGGTGAGGAATTCATCAACACCATATTTGCTGCCTTCGCGACCGAATCCGCTTTGCTTGATGCCACCAAACCTGTGAAGAGCAGTCAGTTAGCCAAACGTGTGTAGGGGAAAATCTGATGAATTGCAAAAATGGGGAAATGGAATATGAAAACGTACGGAGCAGCGGTATCGCTAATAATTCCTGTATTAACACCAACCATACCAACCTCCAGGGCCTCTGCAACACGGAAAATACGTCCCACATCCTTACTGTAGAAGTAGCCAGCCAATCCTACCTCAGCTTTATTCGCAAGTTCAACAACTTCCTTCTCAGTTTCGAAGGAAAAAAGACCTGCCACGGGACCGAATGTTTCCTCGGACGCCAGTTTCATATCCTTCGTCATCCCCTTTAGGACAGTAGGGTGGAAGAAGTTCGAGCCCAGATCAAGAGCCCTCTCACCGCCGATGAGAACGGTTGCACCTTTGGATGTAGCATCAAGAACATGCTCAGATACCTTGTCGATGGCCCGAGAATGGATAACAGGCCCGTGAGTGACGCCTTCAGAGAACCCGTGTCCGAGCTTGAATCCCTTAACCTTTTCGGCAAACTTGGCCGCGAATTTGTCATAAATGCCCTTTTGCACGTATATACGATTGGCGCAGACGCAGGTTTGGCCAGAGCTTCGGAATTTGGAGGCGATGGCTCCAGCGACGGCTGCGTCCAGGTCAGGACAATCATCAAAGACAATGAATGGGGCGTTTCCACCGAGTTCGAAAGAGAGTTTCTTCATTGTTGATGAAGACTGCTTCATGAGAAGTTTGCCAACAGCGGTGGAGCCCGTGAAGGACACTTTGCGGATATCGGGGTTCGTAGTAAGGCAAAGGCCAATTTCAGTAGTGTTTTTCAGCGCTGTGACGATATTGACGACCCCCTTGGGAATTCCAGCACGATGGGCCAATTCAGCAATTGCATTGGCGGTAAATGGAGTCTCACCGGGGGATTTAGCAACGACGGTACAGCCGGCCGCCAATGCAGGGCCGATTTTCCTTGTGATCATCGCTGCAGGGAAATTCCAGGGCGTAATGAAACCGCAAACACCAACGGGTTCTTTGATAGTCATTATTCTATTTCCTGGAACGGATGATGGAATGGTGTCGCCATAGATCCTTGGAGCCTCTTCACTGAACCATTCGAAAAAGTTAGCGGCGTAATTCGCCTCGCCCTTGGCGTCTGCCCAAGGTTTTCCATTCTCCCATGTTATTAGTGTAGCAATATCCTCCGCATTATCTATCATCAATTGATACCATCTTCGGAGCATCCGCGCCCGCTCGCGGGACAAAGTTTTGCGGAAGGTTGGGAAGGCAGCGACCGCGGCATCGATGGCCTTTTGGGTATCTTCGGCGGTGAATTCTGGGCACGTTCCAATGAGTTTTCCTGTGGATGGATCTGTAACCGGAGAAGCATTAGAAACTTTATCAGATATCATCATAGTTGAATTGTATTCAGAGACTATATCTCGTCACTCCGTCACATACCGTGAACTTCAAAAGTTTGTCTCGACTGCGCCTCAACCCATTCACCATTGACATAGCATTTATCAATCAAAAGAGATTTATCTTTCAACTATCGATACACGGGAAATAGTAAGTCAATTACTGGTTTTCCAAAAGCGATCACTAGAGACATATAATAGTGCTCACCGGAGGGACAGTGTGCATTGTTGCGAACCGCCTTACGCGAGAAACCACGGGTAATGTGAATGGATATCTAGCCCCGGGTCGGGATAGATTGTTGCAAAGGGGACGAAGAAGTCTCTCCATTTGGAAAACCACTGAAGAAGCCGAGGAGTCTTTAAGAAGAGAGGCGGCCCAGAGCGTCGTGACAGGTCCGAGCGGGAGAGGAAAATGAGGGGTTCCCAGTTAACTACACTGCCGAAAATGATGTAATAATGACTGTGGCGGCCGCCAGCCGTGAGCACCTAACACAGTTACGTCTCCCAGTAAACCAGCAATTTCGCGCACAAATTCGAAATGAGATTCTGTTTTTTGATAGTTACAAGATGATAAAGTGCGGGTTGGCGGGCGAGGTGATGGATGTCGGAGTTTGGAGATGACTTAACTACGGGTCGTTGCCGTACGTATTCGTCATGACAGTTCCCGAGCTCGGCATTCGGCATTGGCGGCCAATCCATGGATTACGGACTGGTTGTTGGGTCCCTTGACTGTGGAGAAGAAATGGTAGGCCCCGTTTTATATTTGGCAAAATTACCTATAGACAAAGAGTAGTTATGGTGTTCCCTCATGTTGGCATAGCTCATTGCCCCCCAGGGGACGCATGCGATAATGAAAATAGCAAATACAAGACACAAATTACACCTCAATTCCATCCAACCTCCTAAAATATATTCCTACATTGCCATTCCCTTCCCTCCCCAATCCCGTCTCATCTATCACTGCAAACACTACCTTCTCCCACCAACCTCCACGGAACTCCGGCTCTGCAAAAACTTCCGCCCAGCAGCTGGCTACCTCCTCTGGCGGGTTCCTGAAAGCACCACATCCCAATGCACCTAGGACAATTTTCCGGTGCCTTTTCCACGCAGAGAGCCGGAGAACAATGCGCATTTTCTCCTTGGCTAGCTGGCGATCATTGGGATTAGCATACTTCATCAACGAATCTTCGCTCCTGATTACGGCTGGGCGACGGGGCGCTGCCATAGATATAACGCTGACTATAGGGAGCCCATTTGGATTCGATAGCTCCATTAGCCCGTGGCCGTCCTTTAGACTGTGTCGGAATATCATGACGGCGGGGCTGTAGATCACGGCGTTAGCGGGCGTGGGATAGAAAGACTGCTTGAGTGATACAGTGAGTGTGCTGCGTCTGCAAAGGGCTTCCTTCCTGCGCTCGTGCCCCACCAAGCCATCCCCCACCTAGAGCGAAGTCGCTAGCCATGTTCAGGACAGCAACGGGAGCGGGTGGTGTGGGTTCCGTCACTGTGGTGCTTGACGGGTTACTGTTGCTACTGAGTTCCCGGATCCCAGCATCAAAGGTATCAACATTGAGAACCTGGATCTTGGTGCCGGTGTACCCAGGGCAAAATCTCTGGTCTAAGAGGGGTGGCGCCGCCGGAGATCGGTAAAGGAAGCCCTCTGTTAAGTAGCTCTTCTTGGACGCGGCTAGGATATTCGGGATGAGTGCTTTGGTTTCGTAGGACACGGCTCGTAACCGTTCACGTTCAGAGTCGTGTTCTCTTCTCCCACATCCCCGGCCTTGTCCCCTGCCCCTCCTCTTCCTGTTCCCGTTACCAGCATCTCGACTGTGAGGAGAGTTCACTGGATTATCAGCAGTTTTTGTTGGGTTGGACATGATTGTCTGGTTCACCTGGCAGCGGGGTAAGGTTTCTAAATTGGAACGTTTTCTTTGCAATAAATTATGTCACAGTGATGTTAGAAACAAACACATTCTCCGGTTGTTGAGATTGATAGAAAATGGTGACGAGTTTCTACGCGACTCATGATAGTTTCAGGCGGGGCTATGCAGTGTCCGCGGACACGAGCGCGGCTGTTCTCTGCATAAAGTGCCTGAGAACCGCCAATGGATGTATCTCAGCACTGGGAAGCTTAATTAGTTAAACTCGCCAACAACATCACTATATTTAGTTGGCTTTGAATGAACTACTCGTTACAAACGCACTTGCATCATGAAAATGTGTACGCAGTCTTTATCAAGATTTCCAGCAACATGCATCCTAACCCTAGTATGCATACCAGACCATGCCCATGGAAAATAAAAATATTACTCAGCATACCGAAGCTAGAAGTCATCTGTCCTTGCTTTTCGGTTTCTCATATATACCGGCGGGACATGGACAGCGTTGCCATTTATTCAAGTAACTAGTCGGGAAGGAGTCGGATGCACAAAGACGTGAACTATGGGCCGTTTACCAATTGACGGGTTTCTACCGACCATTCAAGGAACCCATATTGCAACACTGTGCTTCTCGAGGGTACTGCCGGTTCACTAGAGGGGAGCACACTCTCCAATATCAACAATACACAACCATATTGAGTGGTTTCTTTCCTGAATTGTGCACAAGATTCCTCATGCATGTCCACCTTTTTGTCCAACAGCTTAGTTTTTTTATTGTTTCCTTAAGTCCCAATTCCTAGTGAACTAAAAAGCAAGACCGACAATTGACGCAATCGAGCCAGTCAGCGTCATATTCGTAATGGCCTTCGCAAATCATGCCGTTCTATTCCGTATATGTTCAAAGGAAACGAGACGGCTATTAGAATGAGAGACACAGTATAGCTTACACGGCTACGTGAGCGTGTTCTTTTCCCAAATTGGAGTCTATTGGAATCGTCAGCATTAACTGAGAAAAGGATTCCGCTCTGGTAGGAAAGGTCTCAAGTGTTATGGAGCAAGTAGCCCATTTGTAGTGATCTATCAGTCAGACTCCTCTGTTTGAGGGGCGGATATGTTTTGACGGCTCCCAGACTTAAGATTGGGGTGCCTATTTTTCACGTGTTGGTTCAAGTTCCAAGTCCTGGAAAATCCCTTCGTCGACCGAGAACATCCCTTAACAGGACAAAACAGCTGCCCTTTAAGACCCAGCGCGCGCCTCCGAACAATGTTAGTAGTATTAGGAATTTCAAAATCCGTAAGTTCCCCTGACCCTTCTTCGTCGGCATACTCCCATGTAGGCATGGATTTTCCAGAGCCCTCACTCAGTACCAACTTCACTTCATTTAGAGTCCTGAATGCCATGTCTTCCCCAAACAGCTCTGAACAACGTTTTGCTGTTCTCATAACGACAGGTGTTGGCCATCCCGTCATTGAGGCGATGCCAACAATGTCGCTCCAATCACGTAGACCCAGCTTAGATTGCCTAGAACCAGGTGATCGGCTTCGAGAACGTCGGGGTGTATTTGATCGTGGTCGTTGGGTTTTCGATGGGTGTGATAGCGTGTTTGGGACATCAGATAGACCCACATTCTTTTCGCGATCTGACATAACGGTAGGGATAGTGTTCGCAGACAGCTTCCGTGATTGATCTATACCTCGGGAGCGTGATCTGCTGCGGCGCGACCTGGCTCGTGAACGTGACGTGGGTCTGGAATTTGACCCATCTTCAGGTTCGGTTTCACATTCGCTTTGAGAAAAGTCGACAGTTGTACCATAGGATTGTCGGGAATGGTGTAAACACAAAAGAATATTATCGAGATCGTTAAGTATGTGTCTTGCTGAGGGCCGTAGCGTCACTCTAGATTTCTCATCATCTGCCTGAACGACGGGTCGGAATTGCACTTCTGCGTGTACGCCAATTTCACCACCACATGAATCATTTTCAGTATTCATTTCGGTGCCAGCGGTATCCGAAGGTGCTCCGTTGCTCTTATGGCGAAGGCGAGGTCGTCGATCCTCCCATGCTCGAGCCTCAAATTTCTCTTTGGCTGTTTTAAGCATCTGGGCCATGATACACTCTTCTAATTCTGTGCTAGGGCGTCCATCAGATGGACCGGTCATATTACAGATGTCACTCGCATCTTTCTGCACATGTTCGTCTCCTCTTGGAACCTCGTCTGCAGGTAGGGGCCATGCGGTCCACTGCTTCGTTGGCACGAATGGCGAAGCCGGGCCTGCATTTCCGCTATTACTAGATTGGTGCTCTTGAACTTGTTCTGAATTTAAAGATTCTATTTCCTTCGCTCTCCTTTTGAGTGCGAACGCGTTGAATAGATGGATCGATAGATCTCGTGCGCGGAGGGCTTCCAACGACTTACTTTCTTGCCGTTCTTGTCGAGTTTTGGCGCGCCATGTTGATGGAGGGCCTCGGTATTTGTTTGGTCTTTCGGGCTCAGGAGATCCTTCGGAGGAGTCGTAATCTTTTTCGCTTACAGCTTGCTCATTCTTCTTGTGCGCACTCCTATTGCTGTCTGAATCCGAGATGCCGTCAAACTCAGTAAGAGATATTCCACCGTCAGAGGCGTCTGGTTGAGGAATGATTTGCTGTACAATCAGCTTCTCTTCATACTCTAATCCATGTAACTCCGAATTACTCTGTGATGCTTCTCGAACTTGTTGATGTGATGATGGGCTCGCGTTCGTGGAAGGGGAATCCGCCCTTAGAGAACTTGATGTCAACATTATGGTGTTAACTTAAACCACAGAACAGAAAGTCCTGTGGGAGTATGGACGTTGAGGATGAAAGAGGAAAAAATTCCCCCATATTTCCCACCCAAACAAAAGCACCGCTTAAATTGTTATTATATCCTGATACACCTAGGGGTGAAGGGTCAAATTTTGCGACTATAGCAGCTCGCTGTCACGAACTTTCCAAACGTATTTGAATACAAAAGAAGGGGAAACTTCTGCAAGCTTCATCGGGCAGCAACACAAAACGTGGAGAGTCGTTATATATTGTCTTCGCAATTCCTAACATGAATATTGGATCGATAAACATGGGCAAGACTGATCTGACGTCGGCTTAAAACTTCGAAAACATTTACGAAAACAAATGATCACGTGAAATTTCGGCATGCCGTCTTGGCAGATGTCGCCGGAATAACCCGCATACAAATCCCGGAGCCCTAAGTGTTGAGAGAGTACATTCACACGAAGAATGGAAACAAGCATTTCACACATACATTAACAACTCTCTGATCGTTATACAAAAACATCTTAATCAATCCTGATCACATCCCTATAAGCTCTCTCCCATCCCCTCAGGCAGCAAGCCTGATGGCGTGCCGACGCAGCGCCGCCAGCGCGCCCAGCCCCCCAACACCACCAAACGCGTCCCGAGCCTTGACGCGCATCTGCTCCCCCATACGCCGTCCACCCAAGAGACCCCATCTCCTCACCCCAATCGCCCGCCGCACATGTGAACTGAATGACATGGAGTCTCCAAGCTCCCCTACACCAGCAGGCAGCTCAAAGAGCAGAAATGTCGCACCAATTCACCTCAACCTACGTGGCCCGATGGCTAGCGATCTCCTAGCCGCCCACGAGGCTGAGGCACAGAAATCCCATGCAGAAGCACTAGCGGCTGCAAATATGCTTGATCGGATTGAAGAAGACCTAGATGTCATGAAGGCAAAAGGCCTATCAAGGGCACTGGCCCTTGGAGCCGCTGTGAAGGCGTTAGTCAAGGACTGGTACAATGGAAGTCTAGAAACAGCTAAGCAGTCCACCACAATCAAGCCTGCTGGCTCCACTGGTGCAAATGATGCAAGAGCTCCTACCTACGCAAAGACAGCTGCAGACAGCACCAATGTAACAAAAACACCAGCAACCATACTGCAGAAACCCCTGCTTAGGAATAACCCCAGAGAAGGAAAAACACCACGAATCCTCGCGCGCCTGCCTTCAGATCATCTAGCTCGCAAAGCAAGCCCAATTGCTACTCTTAGAAAGCTGAAGGCTGAACTCCCAGGGCCTTTGGCAGCAGCCATCACAGCAGTTCAAGCCATCCCCACAGGCATTGCCATCATTCCTAGAAGCTTGCAAGACATGGAGGCCCTGCTAGCCCAAAAGAATGTTTTAGCAGCCACCCTCACCAATACTCAGATAGAGAAGGAAGAACATTGGATCACCTGCCTGATTCCTGGGCTGCCCATGGAGATTAGTGACTATGGTGGTGGAACTCTGCATCTCTCAGCAGAATCCATGACAGAAGAATTCACACTCCAAACCAGAATCAAGCCTGTCCAGAGTCGCTGGGCAAAAATACACCCTGGAAACCCAACAGCCACTCTTATATTACACTTTTCGCAAGAGACAGCAGTAAACCTGCCAT